TCCACAACTTCTTGGCCATATTGTTGGCAACTATGATGTAGATCGTGCAGCAGATATACAACAGAGTAAGGGAAATCCCCGTGATATCATATCATGTTGGTCAGTGGAAGACTTTCCAATGTAACAGCCGGGTCATGTGCTCCTCCATCGACGACCGCCTAGTTAATTGGAATGTATGAAAAAGAATATACCATTGTAGCTGAGCCATGTCACATCTCAAAATACCATTCTCGGGATGTCGACTTAGCGACAGGCGGATCAAAAAGTCGACGCCCAAGCAGTGAGTTTATGACCAGAGCTGATCTAAGTGTCTGAGGGAGCTGGAGCCAGGCCGAGAATCGACTTCAGATCCAGCTCAGTCAATCGCTCTTTATAATATACAGTGATTGCAGGATTTGACATAGTTTCCGCTCCAGAAAAGATAGTTGTCGGAGAATTGTCCGAGTTTTCTCTGCGCCAATCGAAACGCAGAAGCAGATGAATCAGTATAATCTTAATCTCGAGTGATGCGAAAAACCTTCCTGGACAAGAGTGATTACCATATCCGAAGCCGGCTTGGTGTATATTCGTGCGTACAAGCTGATGATGGGTCTCTTCTCCAGGCCTAGCACGTAGGTCAAGGAATCTATAGCCGTCAAATTCTGTTGCTTGTGGGTAAATCTCGTCGTCATAAAGACGACTAGGTATAACGCTAATAAGGGCACCATTCGGTAGTACTGTGCCATCGTGGAGCGTTATTTTCTTTTCAACAAGTCGATTCATAAGCGACAGCGATGCTGGTGCTAGACGTTGCGTCTCCTTCATGAAACTATCCAAGAGACGCATCTGGGAAATGCATGTTGGATCAAAAGACTGTCCACGAAGCGTTTCGAGAATCTCATTCCGCAGCAAGTCTTGGAATTCGGGAAAGGTGCAGAGATTGACTAGAGTTTTGGTAAGAAGGTCCGATGTCGTGTGTAGCGATGCGAATGACAGAAACAGCTGGCCATCCCCTAGATTGAAGTCGGTGCCCTTTGCGGCAGCCCTCATCCAGCCAAGAGAGTTCCCGATAGAAGACTTGGAGGGCGATAGTTCGTCTGGTTGCCCAACCTGGGCTTCTATTCGCTTGACTTCATCGTCGATTATGTTCCTTGCATCTCTCGAGACCCGACGCAGCGCGGTACACTCAGGCAGGAACCAGTGGACAATAGGCCGTAGCACAGGCGTCCACATACGCAATGCACGAGCGGCTACCATCAAGACTATGGTATAGTCCGTTGTAATGGCTAACCAGCGCTTATTCTTGACCATTTCGGGCCCCAAGAAGATTCTTGTTGACAGCATGCCTACTAAGCCAATGCTGTGTTGCTTTTCGTCGTATTTGCGCCAGCCGTCGGACTGCTCGGTGGTAAAATAGATCTGGTCAATCCCTGCAGCCGTTTCCTTGTGTAGGATAGTAGCAATTGGGCCTGTACTCAACGTCAGCCAGCTCGTTCTCATGGTATGAAGCCCAAGAGCTCAGTAAACACATGTCAATACCCAAAGAATTGGTCAGGTTCTTGCGAATGGTGTCGACAATGATATCAGAATGCATCAATGCCCTCGCAGCCTCGAACCCAGGAATATGAGAAAAGAGGTCCTGGTGAGCACGTTGAGTCAGTCTTTTCCCGGTTGCATCAGTGTTGTTCTCTCACAGTAGCGATCAAGCGCCGCGCCGATAGATGCTTATGACCTTTGAGTTCATCTGCATAATTGCTTGGGAGTATAAGTCGGGGTCCGTTGGCTGATACGATTTGAAAAACTCCATCGATCTGGAATTCTCTCTCTTAGCTGTCCTGGTTCATCTTAGGGGTCAGACAATATTTTGGCTTACTTTCGCTGCTCCATCAAACAATATTCGGCGTGCATCTGTCATGAACTTTTGCTTGGCATCATACAGGCTGACACGTTCCTTATCTACACCATAGACCTCGAATCCTGGGTAGTAGGACTCGTTCTCCCATAGACTCCATGAGATAGCAAAAGCTAGGATCCCTGCTAGAGCCACTGCTTGGTATAGGCTGACCTCGGTTATGACAAGCTGCAAGTGCTGTAACATAATGAAAGCACTTATGATGGACGGTTGTTGGGCTTAGTGCTGGAACAGCAGAAAACATGGGCGGTGTTGGATACACGGCCATCTACCCTACCTTCATTATTATTCACGGCAAGAACCACCACCTCAAGAGCATGTAATACTCAGCTAGTACCCGTCCCACATAAGATTGAGACATCGCCTCTGTCACGCAGGGCACATTCCACTTCAGACGAAATAATTCAGACAGTACCTCCCGCGCGGCACGTCCCGCACAAAACATTGGTCCCATTCATACAGCGTCAGGCGGCGGTGAGTGCCAAACACCTACCGAATCTCGAACAGGCCCGACTACGAGCAGCGGCTTCCTGTGCTAGCGAACATACGTATTCAGGTCGATATGACAATCTGAAACGGATCGACCTGGCGATTGAAATCTTTCGAGTGACCAACAGCGACAGACAGGCCAATCTCTCTTCCCTCGCGGATTATCATCTTTTTTGCACACGACGACGTTCGACACCGATTTGCAGTAAACTTCACAAACATATTGGTCCACGGTACACGACCATGGCCTTTGTAAGCTGGATCTTAGTGATTGCTTCTGTCGTGGGCCTCTGGATCAAGGTATTCCGGCGTCCTGTCCTCCCAAAAAACGCTCCCAACTGGTGGAGCGGTCACGACTGGCCATTTCTCGGAGCAACTCGATTTTATACAAACCGTAAAGACCATTTTCTAGACGGCCTGCGTAGCTCTTCGACCGGAGCATTCAGCTTTTACATCGGCCGCAAACATCTTATTGGGCTTTCCGGACCTGCCGGACGGAAGGTATTCTATGAGACTAGAGGGCTAAGTCTCGCTGCAGGGTAAGCGCCAGAGAGACGCCTATTAACACAAGAGATAAAAAATGGTCATACCAGCGTCCAAAATTAACCGTGCTTAGTTCTGCAGACCTGATCACTGGTCACCCTTCGTCGTCCGAGGACATGGACAACTTTGTGAAGTGGTTCAAGAAGACATTTCTCGTAGTCATGCCAAAGGAGCGAACCCGCAAAAACGTCCATTTACTTACAAACGACGCCCAGTCGCTGCTACAGGAGCTTCTTCCTGAACAGTCAAGCTGGGGAGTTTTCGATCCTTTTGATACAATTTACGAGATCATCTATCAATTGACCATTAGAATGGTAGGACCGACAGAGATAGCACAAGATGCTAAGCTCCGGGCAAAGTCTTTGTCTATCCTCGAGTCTATCGAGCACTCCAAGTCAACCATGAGGGTTGTGTTTCCTTGGCTCCCCACAATCATGCATCTCAGGCGAACGCTACGGAATATCCAGCTCGGAATGCTGCTCCATGGACTGATTCGGAAGAGACAGAAGTCGGGGATCAGAGAGGATGATACGATGCAAATTCTTCTAGACATGGGCACAAGCATGCGCAATACCATTGGCGTAGGTGAAACTTCCCTTCTGATATTCAACCACTTTAGCTTACATCGTTTGCGCTTGGCAGTTCGTCATCGGGGCATTGTTTGCAGGCCAGCTGAACACTGGCATCAACGCCGCCTGGGTACTAGTCAAGTTAGCGGAGAACGAGCAATGGATGGCTCGGGTCCGTACGGAAGTTGACGCTGTTGCTGCCAGAAACAGGAAGTATCATGGCCAGCCCACGACGGAAGCACTCGGGTCTCTCACGTTAGACGATTGGGAGTCAGAGTTTCCCAACATCTGCTTGTGCTTCCATGAAAGCATTCGATTGGCATTGACCGGAAGTTCATTTCGAAAGAACATCTCTGGGCAAGATATCCCAATCGGTAACTCAGGAGAAGTCATCCCTCGCGATGCTTATGCAGCATACCTTCACGACGAGCTTCATATGAACCCCGATGTCTACCCTAATCCTACTGAGTTTGACCCCGGGAGACATCTGGACGAGCGAGGTGAGGGCAAAAACGTCCCTCATGGCTACATTGGATGGGGTTCAGGCCTACATCCATGCAGTAGGCGAATACCAAGCACACGACGCTCGAAAACGGTTTGCTAACTTGTAACGCAGTTGGCATGAAGATTGCCAAGACTGAAATGACCATTGTGTTGGCGTATTTCATAGCCATATTCGACTTTGAGCTATCTGACAAGCATGGCAACAAGATCAATCGCGAGCCTTGTCAGATAAATCGCAATGCAGAGCTTGCGGAAAAGCCACGTTCTCACATACATCTTCGCTACAGACGCCGGTCGGAGTGAACGATGCGGGTTCAAAAGAAGGATCTTTGCCTCGCAGGTGCCTTATTAACAGCTATAACAATGTGAACCAAATTCCAAGTAAAGCCATCAATGCCATCTCATGGGTTAATTGTGTATAAAAGCTACTTAGCTTCTCTCACGAGCTCTCAAAGGTCTTCGCGAAGGTATGGGCCAGCCAAAAGGCATGAACCAGTTTAAACTTCAATTGGGTGCCATATTCGTAAACAATGCCTTTGGTAGGACAGATAGTATACAATGTAGCTGCACTCATTCCGGGTGTTAGCAGTCTATCAGACGTGATAATCCGTTATGCTTCGTACGTGCAAGGGATAGTCTCACAACCAAGACACGGGACAAAGCTCAGTTTTGCCGATGACCGCGACACCCCACCCTCACTTTACATCCATACGGCGCCGATGACGGGAGACAGTCAAGAGGAAGCTCATCGCATGAAGTGTCAAGCTCCGCCCTAGAATTGTCTCAACCCTTGATTCACACATGTCTGGGAAGTATGTTTCCAATAACGGAAGGGAGGATCTTCGATCGAGCATACAACTCGATCTCGATAGAAAGGAGGGGCTTTAGACGGATTGATCATGCTTTGCAACGACACCGAAGGTTCCTGCTGAGGGGTATTTGATTTGACCTGATTTGAGTTGGGACCAATTGCCTTCATCATCTTCTTCGTTTTCGACTTCAACATGGCTTCTAAATCTCAGTCTGGGTTCCGCGTACTCGTTGCCGGCGGCGGTATAGCTGGCCTGACACTTGCCAACTGTCTGGAAAGAGCAGGTGTAGAATACATATTGCTTGAAGTTCACGACAACGTCGCGCCTCGTGTCGGTGCCTCAATTGGACTGCTACCCAACGGCTCCCGTATCCTTGACCAATTGGGATGCTACGACAAGATCCTTGAAGAAACTCAAGGCGTACGGATCACCCGGTGTCTTGACCAAGATGGCAACGTTTTTCATATTTCCGACGGGGTCCGTCTTCTGGAAACAAGGCAAGAAGCTTCTGTCGGAGTTTTTATGATGTTTAACGCGCTTACTGATATGTGAACTAGGTTTAATTATGCCATCAGTTACCTGGAGCGCGAAACTGTTTTGCGAGTGCTGTACGAGAACTTGCAGGACAAGTCGCCCATCCAATTGTCGCGCCGTATCATGAATGTAGATCACAGTGGCACGGATGGTGTTGTTGTGCATTGCCAGGATGGGACCATCGTCGCGGGCGATGTGCTTGTTGGTTGTGACGGGGTCAACAGCCTCGTGCGTCGAGAGATGTGGAGGCTCTCGGAGCATGGCAAGCCGCAAGCCACACCTGTGTCCGTTCGACATGATCTGAAGGCCGATTTCCAGTGCCTGTTTGGGCTGTCGACAAGGACGCGGGGCGTCAACGCGGGCGAAATGGATGTTAACTTTGCTTCGGGCTTCTCGACAATGGTGATCGGCGGCAAAGATGGGAGGGTCTTCTGGTTCGTCTTTGCGAAGATGGACAAGACGTACACATCACCCAACATTCCCAAGTACTCGTATCAAGATGCCGTCGAATTCGCAAACGAATACATGGACTTCACCATCAAGGATGGGCTGAAATTCAGCGACCTGTGGCAGTCCAGAACGTCCGTCACACTTGCGGCAACAGAGGAAGCTGAACTGAAGGAATGGACGTGGGGCCGTATTGCCTGTGTCGGCGACAACGTCCACAAGATGACGCCTCACATGGGTGCCGGCGGCAATGCAGCGATGGAGTCTGCCGCAACCCTGGCGAATGAACTCAGGAAGCTGGGGCAAGCTGCGGAGAAAACCAAAATCGATCTCGAAACGGTGCAGATGCATCTCGAAACATACCAAAGGGGGCGGCGCGATCGCACGAGCGCCGTGTGTGAAGCGTCAGCCCAACTGGCTCGGCTGCAAGCTCTTGATTCGGTCGCAAACAAAATAATTGCATTTTGGATCCTTCCAACAGCCGGCGACCTGCTGGTTGACGTTAACTGCGACATGATTATTGGAGCAGCCAAGCTGGACTATATTCCCACGCCCGAACGTTCTGTTCAGGGCACGATGCCTTTCAATCCCAGTCTGGGACTTGGCAAAGGCGAGTCGAAACTCAAGAGAGGCTTCGCAGGCCTCCCATTACTTGCACTTTCTCTTTTCGGACCGTGGTTGGCCGAACCATCGAACCTCGCCATGATTGACCAGCTCACGCCGCTTTTCTTGTCGTACGATCATGCCAGCAATAGTGTCAGAGCTTGGCCATATACTGGTGTCTTGGCTGCCTCATCTGGTCTAGACGTTATGCGCTTCCATCTTGATTTTGGCATCATTTGTGCAGTTGTGCTTTTCGAGTCCTCCAGAAGGGCCAATGTGTTGACGATATCTTCTCTGTGAGTTCCGAGCTTCACACGGGCAAAACATCTACTAACCTTGACACCAAGACCGATTGCTTTCTTCTATTGCCTTCAATCCTTCAAGATTGTTCATGTCATGGGAGTTTACTGTTTCGCGCACTACGTGCAGAGTCCTATTGAGAACTTCCGCGCTAAGGACATGAGGTTAACGAACCGAGCCTATTCTGGTACAGTTCTTGTCACCCTGCTTGTGGCCTATTACGTGCCACTGGTCACCGCAATTATGCCAGTCTTCAGCATCACAACTCGACTCACCTGGGGATACATATTCCAGTACTTCCCTTTCTCCATCTCTATACTACAGAATGGACTCAAGCACTTGTTCCTGGAAGATGTCATGGACGAGGACAAGATATGGGCCCCAAATGGCGATTTGTTTCTGATTGGCTTGACAATCTTTACGTTTGCATTATTCGCATTCGCCGCAAGACTACTAGCGCTCATCGGTACTTTAACATCACAAGTCCTCTCGCAATCCTCCGACATGGTCCTGATGACAGAGCTCGGAGGATGGGCTCAACCCATTCGCTTATTTGAGATACACGCTATTTTTGCAGTCTTGCTTGTTTGGCTTCTCTACCTGTTTTCGGACCTCAAGCGAGCTGAGATCGTGCGATGGAGCTGGCCGACTCTTCTCGTCTGCATCGCAACTGCCCTCTGTCTCTTTGGGCCTGGCGTCATGGTCGGCATGGGGTGGCTGGTACGAGAGCGGCTACTTGCGACGAGGAGTCACAAGGACGCGATTGTTGATACCAGGCTTAGAGAAAAGGCCTTGTAAATCTTTAAATAGTGCTGGAGGGTATTTGGAACCCGTTGCGGGCAACTATATAGGACTCTTGCTGCATCTTTATTTTCTGCAGAACTAATGCTGAACCAAACTCTTTCAGGCTATAAAAATGTGCTTTGTCCAGTGCTTGTTCATTTGTCCTCTTCCGTGATAAGAAGCACCATCAGTCTCCAAGGGTGACTAACAGGATCCTGGTCAGAACGCGTTCTTCCTGATGACGAGGGATACGAACGGAGACTGACGACCTCCATCTCGACTTGAGAAGCAAGAAGGCCCGGCCGAATGTGGCTACAAGCCGGGCCGAATGTGCTGGACGTACAGCAGGTATTGCTTCACTTCTTTCCATGCAGTGATGGACACTCCCGGTCCGATAAGACATATCTTGCGACCACCTCGGAGAAACAGAAAGATGACAGCTCACTTGAACCCAGGTCGAATGAACACCAAGACACGGCCGACATGGGTACGAGCCGTGTCTTAGAAGGGCCTCTGGGATGTATGGCATCAGCGAAGCTCGAGTGTTGTCAGTTGACTGAGACGAAGATTTTGGTGTACCATTTATCTGTCAAAACATAGCCACGCTTCAAGATAATGTCAGAAAACAGACCTCAGTTGCGAGCTCAACAAACCTCATCATTTGCCTACCACGGAAAAGCAGTACCTGACAACGATGTTCAATTTGTCTGACAAACTGTCAGCATCAGAGTTCGGCAGCTGGGGAGCCAACATGGCATCACAGAAAGTCCCACTTTAGGCTTTGTTCACAGCCTTTTCGTTATTCGCAGCCTTTGCCTACCGAACCATGAGCAAAGAAAGGCCACTCGTTGGGTATCCGATGGCTTCTATTCCAGGTAAAAGTGCCAGAGAGAGCTGGCTGCTTGACGGAAGGAAGCTTGTGGAAAAGGCAGAGCAAGAGGTACCGGAATACATTGGTTTCCTTATCTATGGTCATTGGGCTTACCAGCCTATATCGTACGATGGACCCTTCCAGATTATGAGTAGCACGGGGCTGAAACTCATCCTTCCAAACAAATATGCGCATGAACTACGAAACCACCCTTTCCTGAGTCTTAACGGCTTTCGTTCAGGTCCGATGGCTCGCCGTCGAGTTCTCATGAAGTTGCGCACTGACCGATTTACCAGGACTTTTTCACCGAGTACCACGGATTTGAGCCATTCTTGGAGGGGACCCGCGATGACGGCGTTATCTCAGATACGGTGCGAACCAAGCTGACGCAATCTTTGGGCTTGATCACCGGAGATCTTGTGGACGAGACCAATGTTTCCATGCCCCACATCTTTGGGGACAGCACGACATGGACAAGCGTACTGTTCAAGGATGCTATCCTCAACCTTGTCGCTCGCCTGTCATCAAGGGTCTTTCTGGGCGAAGACCTGTGCAGAAATGAGGACTGGCTCAGGATTGCCAAGAGCTACGCCGTCGACGCTTTGACCGCTACCTACCTGATGAGAATGGCCCCAAGCCTACTGCGTCCTATTGCGTACTGGCTCATCCTGCAATGTCGAAGGAGTCGCCAGGCGGTTCAGAGCGCACGCAAGCTCATCGACCCCGAAGTGAAGAAGCGGAAAATGCTAGTGGATGATGCTCTGCAGTCTGGCGCTAAACCGAGTAAGATATCCGACGCCATTGGCAGGATGTATCAAGTCGCTGCCGGCCGGCCCGTCGACTTTGTTTGCGCATGCAACTTACGCTTGCCGCCGTTCACACGACCACGGAAGCTCTCACACAAGCCATTCTAGATCTCTGCGAGCGTCCAGAATTTGTGCAGAAGCTACGAGATGAAGTGATCGAGGTGTTGGGTGATGAAGGCTGGGCAAAAACAAGCTTCTACAAGCTCAAACTCATGGACAGCGTTTTCAAGGAGAGCCAGCCGTTTACTCCTCTAGTCTCAAGTAGGTACTGCGCATGGGCACTGGAACTGCTTCTAATAAGTTTCCAGCAGCCATGAATCGTCTGGTGTAGCAAGACATTACGCTCTCTGACGGGAGGTTCCTACCAAAGGGCGTCCGTATTATTGTCCTGACTGATTTCAGAACCGCGGAGAAGTATCCCAACCTGGATGAGTTTGATGCAACGAGGTTTGTTCCCATGCGACAGGGTCAAGGCAGCGAGAACGCTTCGCAATTGGCATCAACAAGCTCTGAGCATACCCTTTTCGGCCATGGCCGACACGCTTGTCCCGGTCAATTCTTTGCCGTGAATGAGATGAAAATCATTTTGGCTCAGTTTCTTCTCGAGTACGACCTGCGCGCTGAGGAGGGGCTTACCAAGCTTCAGCCACAGGCTTTCGAAACTTCAATCGGCGTTAACCCGGCGGTGGCGATAGAAATTCGACGGAGAAATAAGAGCGCTGATGTCAGAATCGAGAAACGAGAGTGACAGACTACCGAGGTGTCTTCAGAAGGCTGCTTGGCAGGGATGGGGTATTGCTTTGGAGTCGAATCAGGTCTGCAGTGTACCTAGCCGCCAAGTTCCCGTGGATACACGAGGCCTGTTCATATTCAGTGGTCTACGGTCACCCCGAGTAACACCAATATCAATTCATTTCAAGGAGACCAGACACATGGCAATAGTAGACGAGTAATTTGGGGACAGCCGTTGCACTGTTCGCCCGGAAACAGGCCAGCCGGTCCAGCACCTTTCATAGTCAAAGGATAGACAGTCCAGCCCAGGGCTCATATTAAGATCCCGTACAGAGAGCACGTAGTGCCGCGCTCAGGGCAGGCTTTGGAAAGAAGGTTGCGTGAGGCTTAGGAATGCCTGGGTCAGCTGCTCAATATGTATAGTGGTTTGTCGTGCCTCGACATAGTTGACAAGCTTGGACGTGTGCGGTCATACATGGCTTTGGCGCACACATATCCACCTCGACAGGCGGAGTGTTACGGGGTTGTCGAACGCAGCATACAATCCGGAAGCGCACGCTGTTTTCACTTGTGGCTTGATTCCGTTGCACTTGAGCTGGCTAAGCTTCGTTAAAGCCGATATGACAGCAGTCAAGGGGACGCATGTGGATGCTTGTTAAATCATGTGCAAGGAGCCCCAGTTTCTGATACCTGATCTTAGTACCTATGTCTGTGATACAATCGTGCGAAGGATGCAGCATACAATGCTTGAAACATGGACTCAAGGCCTGGATTCTAGGAAAGCCTCGGTTCATTCCTTACTCCCCTTTCCGCGCTGTGTCGAAGCAGGCCGTGGACGCCTTCGCGTCGATCTTTCCACCAAGAGTAAGAATTCATGGCCATCAGGCAAATCACCGAGAGGCCAAGTGCCATTTGCGTTAAACCACGCAAGTGCTTCGAAAGGCTCGTCGTGGTCAACGTAATATCCGGAATCAACACAGGATACCATTCCACCAGTGTCGCGCGAATCGAACAGAGAACCGCGAAGCTTCGCTGCTTGGATATATTCGATTGGCGATGCTGCCAACACACCGGCTGCATGGGCTTGGGCAAAATCCAAGACAACGTCGGCAAAGCGGATGTCTAATGTATTTGATTAGGACCGTTCCAAGAAATTCATGCACGACGCCACGTACCTCCAACAGCTTTGGCAAGAGCTTTGCACGCCGCTGGGTGGGAGCTCATGATACCGAGCGCATCGTCCTCAGGGTCGATCAAGTGCAGTAGCAGCGTGGTTGCTATCTGTCGTTGCCGATAGTCGCTGTGAACAACCAGCTGAGTGATCCAGCATACCTGACGTCCCGCATGTTCCCAGCGGCAGGCAAAAGCATTGCCTATCAGAGCTCCATCGATAGTTACTCGGATGTAAGAGCTTCTCGCGCCGTCTGGGAGGCATTGGGATCGAAGACGAGCAGGGCTCATCTTGACGCGACTGCCTTTCAAGCCGTCAGTAGTGTAGGCGTGAATCACCACGCTGTCTTACCTGGTTTTCCAAACCCGTTTTTGCCCCAAATACCATAGTGCTCGCTAAATAACTTGGCCGCCTCCTCCAGCATAGTTTCCGTGACCTCGGCGCCCTCGAATTTTCTGACAGTCGTGGCCATTGTGGCTGTGGATGGTTTCCTACGCTTCGGGTGAGCATCGTCCACTTCGAAAGTTTGAATGGCGATGTGGTCGGAAAGCCGCATCCCAGAAGCGCTACGATCCAAGGCGACGGCTTAGCCAGCAGCATATTTTATCATCATGTCTGTTTTGATCGGGCAGGCTAATATGGTTCTGCACCTTCCATCATGTCCGTACATGTGTAAGAAAGTGCGTGAGGGTATGCCTGCCGCTGGAACCTGACACGGCGCCCCACTGTACCTACCTAGGTACCTTAGGTAGGTACCTGAGGTAGGTACGCTACAGTGGGTACAAGGCAGGTGCGTCATTGGGAAAAACGCACGTGTCACGCTGAGCCAGCTGGGTTTTGGAAACCGGGAGCTGGAGCTGGTGCTGGAAGCTGGGGGAGCTGCACAGGCAGCGACAAAGCGGCAGCCCTTTTCTGACGGTCAAGCAGGCAGACGACTTTGCCCTCCCCATCAAACAACGACTTGGCGAGGCCACATAGCTGTACAAGAGGGCCCTCGCTGCGCGACACTTGTTCGATCTGGACAATTATCCACACGTCCGCTGCTAGCCAGCCGGCCCCCGTCGCTCCAGAGACAGACTGCACCGTCGAAAATCCAGCGTCATGGTGTCCTTCTGGCCCTGGAGGGTACGTCTTCCAACTCGACGGGCACTTCTCCCACGTTCATGACTGACCTGCCACCAGGGCGATGACTCCTCCCCGGCCTCGTTCGAAAAAGCCCTCTCGGCTCTGTCCATCAAGATTGCCGACTCCCAGGCCCGCCTCGAGCGCGCCCGCGCCACGTCCCGCCGTGTGCGGGTGCTGTGGACGCTCTACCTCTCCTTCGGCTACCTGATCTATGCGATTGTCCAGATCCTGGTCGTGGGCACCAACAACATGCGCACCCGCGAGTGGGCCGGTGTCGCAGGAGGTCCCGTCATGTAAGGGACTCGCCTCCCCCCTTTGGCCCGGAAGAGTCTGCGCCTAGGTAGACTGCGTGAGCGCTGCTAACATGTGGATCTCCCCTCCGCGCGCAGCATCTTCTTGACGAGAACTGTCGTCACATTCTACTTCAACTTTCGGATCGAGAGGCTCTCGGTGCGCCTCAAAGAGCAGCAGGACGAGCGCGCCAAGACGATCCAGAAGCTCAAGGACGCGACCAAGTACGACTCGACGATGCAGCTTCTGGAGAAATACGGCGGCGACAACAAGACGGACAAGGACGGCAAAAAGGCAGACGGCAGCCAGCAGAACCACGGCTCAAAGCAGCAAAACGAGCAGCAGCAGGGCAAACATGGCAACGGATCTGGTCGCACGGCGTTGCCTCCTCCCCCGACGGCCAACATTCAGCGCCGCAACGGACCCGTGGGCGTGGCGACCCCCGGCACGCATCAGTCTGGCCACGGCGATCCGCGGTCGGGTGCGCCGCCGCCGCTCACCGGCCTCGAGCCGTCGGCCGAGTTTGCGCCCAACGCCTACGCCCAGCAGCCGCCGCAGCACTTTGCCCAGCAGGCCGAGCTCACGGCGGACTCGTCGCACTGGTATGACCGCATTATGGATCTTCTTCTTGGTGAGGATGAGACGGCGCCCAAGAACCGCGTGGTGCTCATCTGCCGCAACTGTCGACTCGTCAACGGCCAGGCACCCCCGGGAACCAAGTCTCTGGCGGAGCTGGGCATGTGGAAATGCATGTCGTGCGGAGCCGCGAATGGCGAGGTGGACGAGGGCAAGCGCATCGTCGATGAGGTGCTCAGGTCAAAGGAGACCACGAGCGAGGTCGCGGCTGGCGAGGAGTTCAAGGAGGAGGACGACAGCGAGGAGGAGACGCCCGAGATGGTGCAAGTTGGCAAGGACGAGATCGGTCCCGAGGGCCAAGCGTCTGGAAAACACACGGCATCAGGCACCCGTAAGCGAAAGGGGAAGAATGGCTAAACAGGCCAAACAGCGCCCATGTGCGACGTCTATCTACTCTCTAAGACAGATGAGAACAATTCCCTTGACGAACAAAAAGGTACATTCCTAAACGCAAAATCAGCCGCTCCTTCGTCTGAGAAACCAAGTGCTTTGGGCGATCAGGGGTTCAAATGTAAAGAAAGCCACACTTGGTTCCAAAGAAATGTCTGCACTGCCACAGCCGCTCCCAGGCACCCGCATCAGCAGCACCAGCGCCGCACGCGTCCAAGCTTTGGTCGTCCGTGCTTCCCCAGTGGTGTCTGGTGCGACGGCCAACAGCGAACAGCCTGGTCTTCCATTGCTTCAACAAAAGGGATTCCTTGTCCTCAAGGAGCAAGCCGCCCAACACAACGACCACCATTGTGTCGGCCTCTTCCGTGCGGCTCCGAAGACCTTCGAAGAGATACAGAAGACGATGCATAGTCTCTAGATACCCAAAACACCATTCTTCAACACCCATCGGCCAACCCATCTCGACCCGCGCATGGTGTCAAGCTTCTGAACTGAACGAACCCCTGCGCCGGACATCACCATGTTCCAGGTACGCCTATTCGACTCTCTCTCTCTCTCTCTCTCTCTCTCTCTCTCTCGCTTGCTCGCTCGCTCGCTCTCTCGCTCTCTCTGCCCCTCTTCTCCCATTCACGAGCCTCGCGCCCGGGCAGACGCAGACTGACCAACCGTCCCAGCGACTCAAAGCCTCGATCGACCGCACGATCGCTGAAGAGCAAGCTCGCCAGAAGCCCGACCAGCCCCCGGTCCAGCGCACCCCCTCCACCTCCCGCGGCGGCGGCTCCGCGAAGCAGCGCAACCGCTCCCAGAAGCCCGTCCCCGACCTGCCCATCGACGCCCCTGCGAACCCAGACCCGGCCGTCTTCGAGGCTGCTTTTATCCTCGACGACGGCGAGGAGGCCAGCCGCGCCTCGACGCCCAAACCGCCCGGCATGGCGGCCGACGAAAAGGCAGAGGGCGTCGAGGAGCCCGGCGCCCCGCCGCAGCAGTCGAACGGGGACAAGGAGAAGGACAAGTCTGATGGCGCGGGCCAGGCCGATGCGCCGCAGGAGCTGAGCCCGGAGATCCGTAGCAAGCTGCGCAAGTTGGAGAAGCTCGAGAAGACCTACCCTGGTAAGAGATGACCCCCAACACACGGCTTCCCCATCTTTCTCGATATACGATCCCTTCCCTTGCTGACTCGTGAGCAGAGCTTCTGCGGTCGTATAGAATCGCCCACAGCCGCGCCACCTCGATCGAACCTTTCGAGCGAGCCCTGAAGGAACATACGAGCGTCACGTCGATTAAGGAGCCTGAAGCTCTTGTTGAATACCTCGACTCCTTGAAGCAAAAGGAGCAGCTCATCATGGAAGAGTACAAAAAGGTCTCGATTGAGAAGGACGAGATGAAGAAGAAGCATCAAGCGACCGAGAGGGAGCTGGCCGAGCTGAAAGACGAGGTCGCCACTCTTAAGGCCAACAGTCACACCACAGACGGCCCAGCCAAACCCCAGCCTGAAAGCAAGGAGCCCGATGCCGCATCCGACCCGACGAGCAATCCTTCTTCAGTCAAGTCCCCCGTACAGTCCGTCCTCGGCATCTTCTCCCCCAAGCAGAAGCCTCAGGCTCTCGAAGACGACAAGCCCGTCGAAACTGATGGGGGAGACTTCTTCTCCTACGACGACGAGGTTCCCCAGATGCAAGCCGACGTCCACGCCAAGACCGAGGAGATCGAGAGGCTCAATGCCGAGGTGACCTCGCTGAAGCAGGAGCTAGCTGTTGCCAAGGAATCCAGCTCTGAGCTCGTTCAAAACCTCGAAAAGTCCACCCGTGAAGCCGGCGAGCTCCGCGACTCAGCCGCTGCCACTGCTACACTCAAGACCCAGCTGGAAGCCAGAGACTCTGAAATCTCCTCTCTTGACAAAAAGCTGAAAGCGACACAGGCCCAGCTAGAGGAGACCAAGACCAGCCTGTCAAAGGAGCTCGACTCACTGCGTGCATCCTCCAAGGAGTCACAGACAAAAGCCACTGAAGCTGTCAAACGTGCTGACAGGGAGCATGCTGAGGTTGAAAAGCTTAACAAGGTTAAGACTGAGTCAGAAAAGAAGATCAAAAACCTCACCGAGTCGATCGACGACCTGAAGAAGCTCAAGGCACAGGATGAAGCCAAGATTGCCGAGCTCACCAAGAAGCACGCTCAGGCCGCACAACTGACTGCGAAAGCACCGTCCCCTGCTACGCCTGCTGCACCCGCCGCTCCTACAGCCGTGCCAGCTGCCGCGCCCACGACCGCCTCAGCAGCGTCAAAGAAGAAGAACAAGAAGAAGAAGAAGGGTGGCGCAGCAGCAGGCTCGGCAGCAATCGAGTCTATTAGCGAGCCCGTCTCCGAAACCACAGAACCCACTGCAGCTGTTGCGGCTGCGGCCGAGGACCCATCCTCCAGCTCTGCCGAGTTGGAAGCGGAGATTGCACGTCTCAAAGACGAGGTCACGCAGCGTGACGCACAGATCGAGCGTCTCTCGAAGCAGCGCAAGACGGAGGAGGATCTCACCGAAGAGATTGAGACGCTCCGAGACGAGTTGACTGATATCGGACAAGGTCACGTCGAGTCTAAGCAGAGGATCAAGGAGCTCGAGGAGGAGAAGGCCACACTCCAGGCCAGAATCGAGGAGCTCGAAAGGGAGATCGGATCAGCGACGCACGATGCCGAGGCCCAGGTCAAGCTGCAGAGCGAGTTTGATGGTCTGCGCAAGGAGTACGACGACCTCAAGATCAAATCAACAACTCTGCAGTCAGATCTGAGCGCCGCGGAGCAGCTTGCACAGACCCGCTATAAAGACCTGACAGACCTGCGCGAGGTGTTGCAAAAGGCTCAGCCGGAGATGAAGGCTCTTCGACAGGACTCGGCTGCTCTCAAGACGACCAAGGAAGAGCTGGCGACCAAGATCAGCGAGCTGCGCAATGTTGAGAAGCGAGAGAAGGATGCCAAGACCGAACTGGCCAAGGCACAGCGGTTCACAACAGAGCGTGAATCAGACATCAAGTCACTGCGGGAGAAGCTCAATGCGGAATCAAACAGTCGAATTCGTCTCGAGGATGCACAGCGTGTGGCCGGGCGAGACCTACGCCGATCTGAGGCCGAGAAGGCAGAGATCAGTGCCCGAGAGGAAAAGGCGACGCGCGAGCTACAGGCAATCAAGGCCGAGGCCAACAAGTTGAGGCCGCGTGTGAAGGAGCTTGAGGAAGAGGTCGAGAAGCTGCAGTCAGAGAAAAAGTCGCTGCAGGACGAAGCAAACCTCAAGACACAGCAATATACCAACGCACAGAGCCTCCTGGGCAGCATGCGCGACCAGACGGCCGAGTTATCGACCCAGCTCAAGGAGTCGCGGTCGCAGTCTGAAGCGTTGGAGGAAGAGCTAGCCGAGATTCAGAAGCACCTATCCGAACGCTCTCGCGAAGCGGAGCGCATGCGCGGCATGCTGGCCGACGTGGACGGGCGCGCAGACAGCAAAGTGCGCGAAATGCGATCACGCATGGAGGCGGCCATTGAAGAGCGGGACAGAATCGAGGACGAGTCGAGTACATTGGCGCGTCGCAAGTCACGCGAGACGGAGGAGCAGAAGCAGAAGATCCGCGAACTAGAGCGTGAGGTCAAGAGTCTGGCCATCGAAAAGGACGAACTGGAGACGAGGGAACGCGACTGGAGGCGACGTCGCGAAGAGCTTGAAGGCGTTGAGGAGAAGACTGAGGCAGAGCTCACAGAGATGCGGTCGGCCGTTTCAGACCTGCAATCAGCCCTGGACGCATCGGAGCAGCAGGTGCGGGAAGCGGAGAAGCAGAAGACGGATCTCCGAAGGCTGTTGGAGGAGTCGAGGCAGCGTTTCGAAAAGGTGTCCAAGGACCTCAAGACGGCACAGACCAAACTCGGAGCCAGTCTCAGCTCGGAGCGTAGCTCGATGGACTCGTCACGGTCAGGGGCCAATGGAGCTGCGGGGCCTGGCAGCGCCGACAATATGTACCTGAAGACAATTCTGCTGCAGTTCTTGGAGCAAAAGGACAATAGGTTGCGGGAACAGCTGGTGCCGGTCCTGGGGAGGATTCTGCAATTCAGCAAGTAAGTGCCCGGACCTGCTGATGAAAGCGCCTTGGGGTTGTTGCCCATTACTGACAACTTGGTAGGGCTGACGAAAAGAAGTGGCGCGATGCCATTCAGCACATCAACGTGCGGTGAGGTTGAGACGCCAGGAAGAAGGACGGGGGACCACCGTGTTTGCCATGACTTTGTCCCATCTGTTCGTGTAGGAATATTGCTGAGACCATTCGTGACGTCGCTTCGAGCCGTCCGTGTATGACCTAGCGGGGGAGGGATGGGGCGATCTGCTAGGCACTGGCATGGAGCTACTGACGATACCTAGCTCAGATGAATGAATTGACTGGAGACCGCCGCCAGCGCGGCGGCTCTTTGTCGATGCCAATGCTCGATGTGCGATGCGGACGGCGTGATGGTTAGATCATTGCAGAATCAATGGAACTGGGGAGTCGGAGCTTTCCCTCCGACACGGGGGACGTCCCTGCCCGGTGTACCAATCAGGGGAGCTGATCGGGGCCAATCCCGACCAGAAGCAGCAAAGAAGGGGCAATGGACAGTGGATGCGTTGTGTGCCAATCGCTCCTGCTCCCGAACGCCTCCGCCTCGTCATCTCAAGCGCATCTCTCCTGCCACGGGAAGGTTCGATCCAGGCCGCTGTCGTCATGAAGACGTCTCAATTCTGGTCCTCTCTGCACATGCCCGCTAAAAGCCGTCATCATCATGAACAGGTCAATCCGCCCACCTCCGCCTGAGGAGGCTGCCAATAGCGGATATAAACACATGTGTACCATTTCTCCAGAACGTCTCATCGATGAACATGTCCCATTCCTCATCTCTTCGTACTCTGGCTATCCGCTCCAAAGTTCAGCGTACCTTATTTACCAGCGCCCAGTGCACCCCAGGACGACTACCATCAACCAGAATCGCCCACTTCCGAGCATCTACGAAAACTCCATCTACCACCGTGCTTGCCCCCAGACCCACGTCATCGGAGCAACAGTGCACAATGTCATCAGCAAAGACCGCCGGCCCCGAGGGCAACAAGCTCTTCACGCGCGAGCATCTCTTCGACCTGTCCGACAAGGTTGCGCTCGTCACAGGCGGCGGCACGGGTATCGGCCTCATGGCCACGCAAGCCCTGGCGGCCAACGGCGCCAAGGTGTACATCACCGGTCGCACCCAGGAGAAGCTCGACAACGTCGTCAAGACGTACGGCCAAAATATCCGCGGCGAGATCATCGGCATTCCCGCCGATGTCTCGGACAAGGAGAGCATCAAGAAGCTCGTCAAGGAGCTTGAATCGCGCGAAAAGTGCATCTGCATCCTCGTCAACAATGCCGGCATCAGTTCCAGCTCGTTCGAAGTCGAGTCCGACTCGGGAAAAGAGATGAAGAGCAAGCTCTTCGACGACGAGGCCGCTGGCTTTGACGACTGGCTGTCGTCATACCAGACAAACGTGCCTTCTGGCTATTTCCTATCGACGTCGCTGCTGCCGCTGCTGGAGAAGTCGACCGAGACGCACCCCGGCTGGTCGAGCGCCATCATCAACATTACCAGCATCAGCGGCATGATCCAAAAGTCCCAGCACCACTTTGCTTACAACGCCTCCAAGGCTGCCGCCATTCATGTCAGCCGCATGCTGGCGCACGAGCTCTCCCAGAACAGCGTCAAGGTTCGCGTCAACAGTCTGGCGCCCGGCGTCTTCCCCAGCGAAATGACGACTGGCGACAGCGCCGACGACGCCCAAAAGAGCCAGATCCCCAAGGAGAAGTACGAGGCCAAGGTGCCTGCGGCGCGTCCCGGCAAGGATGAGGACATGGCGGGCGCCATCCTCTTCTTCGCCACGAATCAGTACCTCAACGGCCAGAACGTGGCCGTCGACGGAGGATACACCCTACAAGCCGGTCTCTAGAGGCCGGAGAAATAGTGCTCTTGATGTTGGATTAGCGTAACGATAAAAATATACATTTCGATCATGATTCATAATGATAATGGAAAAGAAACTGTCAGACCTCCTACCCGTCGCCATGTCGCAGAATTCGCACACCCCACTCCCCCTTTTCCCAGATGAGGTCTGTCCGTTGCAGTGCATGGAACCCTGGGCGCCCAAGTCGGCAAGAAAACGCCTCGAATGCGGGCTAAAATGGTGCCCGTAAGCTTAAAAAAACCGTGATGGCCTCACGCATCAGGCACTGATATTAGCCCAGCGAAGGTTGGCAATTGAACCCACTCAGGGGGCTTACTTGGCACAAGACCAGTAAATATTTGCCAGTACCTTACTGCAAATAACCCGGCATGGTGAACTTCTCACGGCAAAGCCTGTCTCGATCGCAGTTCCTCTGGACCTGGAATAATCTGTAAAACCTGTTGGCACCTGCTGGGCGGTGTGGCTGGCTCGCTCTGATTTAACGTACTACGCAGAGTATCAGTGACAGTATTCATGCACGTACTGATCCGTTGGATGAAATGAAGGCAATGGGCTTGGGCATCATTGATGCTTCATACGTCTCAGGCCCTGCTATGGGTTTGTTTCTCGCGCCACGTCAAGTCGAAGAACACTAGGAGAAAAGAATCCAAGACCAGAAACGCCCATGGCCGAAAGAAAGGAAAATCCCAGACGATCCACATGGCACCCGCATGGCATGGCCCATGCGGTGCCTGGCGCTGCGATGCGACACCGCTTGAGGAGGGGGGTGTCGGCGATCATAGGGCTGAACCTGTGCCTTTTCGGGGCAAAGGGCGGGGTGGGCACGCGCGCTGCGAAAGCAAAGGGGTACTCGTCCCAGTGGCCCCGAACGTTGGAATGGGGGTTGCGCTCGTTACTGCACTGGGAAAGGAGCGCGCTGCCAGCCAGGGGGGGGGCTTGCTGCTCTTCTACCCGCCCAGCCACGGATCGGATCGACGGTGCATCTTAATCTGGTAGGATACGAGCATCCTGGCAACTTACTCCGACTGCATGTCAGATTTGAATGAAGAGGTTCGGGACAATCGTTGGCATGGGGTTCAAATTGCATAGGTAGATTCCAGTGGTGATCGAATGAATTGACGACTGATTGCGGCCGACTCGTTAACTTCCGTTCTCCCTCGAGAATCATGTTGAATACCTCGAGAGAAATAGTTTCTGCAGCTACAAACAATAAAAGCCTTGCCAAGGACCCTCAAGTTCAAACCCTCCTTCGGGTGTATCTTTCGTCGGCTGCAGGCCGCAATCTCTTCACGAGGCTATCGAACGCCAAATACATGCATCTCGCTCACTTCCCTAGCCACAGAAAAGCGGGGTATGTCCGAGAAAACCATATTCCATGTGCCCAAACAACCAACAAGTGAGAAAAAATAAGGAAATGAAAAATGGAGTGAGGGGGGTGACAAGACTGGGGAATCAGATGTATGTCGCACACTCCGGGTATCATGGTGATGAGAATCCCTAATGCTGGACGTGACCATATCGTCATGTGGTGCCGAATGAACCACTGCCTGACCTGGCAGCTTGTGACAAAAGAGAGGAAATAAGACCATGACCTCGAACACCACAAATCGGGCTGCAGAGCCCTGAAATATGGAGCGGGGTCGAATAAGGAAAAGAAAAAGGCAGATCCCGTTGTCGCTGAATGCAAAACCAATCATTGAACGTAAGACTCGAGTCGTGAAACAGTTAAAATCATGAATCCGTGTGCTGGTAAAGGAGAGATGGCAACCGGTAGAGCATACCAGATGGTCCACCTTGCTGCTGCTGAAGAGTAGCCAGTTTACATCGAGGAGGCAAAGGGTGCCATCCACTTGATGTCCAGCCAGCCAACCTTATCGAATGCTGTCCAGAGCTTGGATGCCTTGTTGACGTCAATCTTGCAGGCTTGCTGAGCATCCGTCTTGCGGAACTCCTTTTGAATTCTGGCGCATTCGAGGCGACGGATGAAGATCCGACGCTTGCTGGTGAGGTATGTCGCGCAGTCGAGTCGCAATGCTGCTGCCAATGTCACCTCATCAGGGTGAAGGTGGTGGGCATTGGGGTCATTGGAGAGATCGACTGCAGTGCCCTTCCAATCCACCTTCAGACTGTTGGTCTTGTCGGGAAGAGAAGAGAGTGGCGGGCAGAGATCAGGCAAGGATGCAAAGTCGCGATCCTCACGGTTGGGTGCGACAACGCGACGGCTAGGTTCCGGTGTGGCGCTCGTGACCCGAGTCTTCTTGGGTGTCGGGTTAGACGGGCGAGCCCTGGCGACAGCGGGGGCCGGGCGGGGGCCATGAGCGGGCTTGACGACACGGTCGGGCTTGGCAGCAGGAGTCCTCACGGTCTTTGTAGCAGACACTTTGGCGGACAACTTGGTTGACTTGGCCGGAGCTAGAGCAATGTATCGTTTGTCTGCCCTGTTCTGGCTTGTTTTCCTGTCGAGCACCAACTGTTTCTTCTCCCTCTTCAGCCAACCTTGGGGGTCCTTGCTGTACATCTCGATGACCTTCGATCTGAATTGCAGAACCAATTCGTATTCCTCACGTCTGGGCGGTGGAGAACGGCGGAAAGTGGTCGTATCTCTGGAAGCGATGTGCTCATCGACGAGGCGCCGGTGAGAGGCAGTCTCATGTGCAGGGAAGAGAGGCTGCTGAGGTGGGCTCAAAGATAGGTCGTCGCGAGGGTAAAGGATGGGATCCTTTTCGCTGTGGCTTGCGGCAGCTGCGGCAGTATTGTTGTTTGCGGCTTTCGTGAGCGGCGAGACTGGGGGCGACATGGGCATCCTGAGTGCATCCTCGGTGGCTGCCTGCGCAGGCGTAGCCATTGGGCTGACCTGCGCAGAGTGGTTGAAACTGTCGAGAGGAGTCGGATCGGGTGGTGACATGAGACTGGTGAAATCGAAGCCCTTCTTAGGGGCATCGGCGGTCAATGCCGCGGAAGCGTGTTGGTACGCGCTGCTCATGGTGACGATGGGGAGGCGATCTTGAGAGCGAGGAGTGTAAATGGAGGAATTGTGAAATGGGGGAAAATGAATTGGAAAGGGGAAGGAATTCAGCGAAAGATATCGCTGTGTGAAAAACAAGCTCTGAAAGGCAAAGAAGGTGCGTGATGAGTTGTAGAGGTCTGGATGAGTGTTTGTCAGCTGTCGGGGGGTTGTTGATGACTGTTTGTATTGGTCGCAAGTGATGGGTGGCGAGATGCAGTGAGGCGGAGTTGGGCGACAGAAGCCGACCGACAACGATGGAGATATCGGAGATGGGAGGGTCAGCGACCGAACCAGAAATACGTAGCCGGCGTAAGCGAGAAGAATGGATGAAATGCCCAGGCAAAGCTGGCACCAAGTCAGATGAGAGAAGTCCGATTGAGGAAATCCGTTTCCCTGCGTTCAATTGATGGATGGATGGATCGATGAGCGGCGGCGGTCGGGCGAGAGCCCAAGTCGCGATGAAGGTGGGAAAGCGTCGTGGCGGCCTATGATCCCCTGCACGCAAGGTCGGGTTTTCGATGAGAGACCAATTGGGTGAAAGAAGTACTGGTGTGTGCAATTGATTGCCGGCACCATTAACGGAATGGAATCGTCAAAGAGAACAGCAGGCGTTGGGATAGATGGTCAAGTTGAGTGGGAGAAGAGAGTAGTAGGATTCTAGGCACCGCCTTGAGACTCTCTCAATGCTCTCTGATCTTCTTGATGAAAGGACAAACAGGGCGGATTAGCGATATAAGGCGGGGCCAATGCGTTCTTTCACTGAACAGAACAATGGAGCGTTTCGATGCAATGTATCAGGAAGAAGGGCAACTTATGACGAAACCCGAGCGTAATGTTCCGGTTGTCTTGTGGTCTTGTAGCGTGCCTCTGTTGCAGCGTTGGTGCTGGTGTGAAACGGTAAGACGTGATGAGCAACAGGTCAAGAGGGTGGACGGAAGAGGTGGAACAGAGGAAGAGGAGAGGAAGAAAGCATGAGAAGAAAGGAGAAGGAAGTGTACGAAGGAAGTACTGGTGAGGCGCCTGGATGTTTGTGATGACTGGGCTGGGACCACCGCAGAAGGCTCCCCAATGCCAGCCTGGACAGACACTGAGGACCCCCTCCCGCAGAGGCCAAAAGAGAGTGCCAGCAGGAGAGGCACAGGCAACGGCGGCAAAGGGACGCGGTCAAGGTGGCCCAATGTCGTGGGCATGGTTAACTTGACAGCTTCGTGGGAGGCGGAGTCACGCCCCCAATCCTCCCACCCCTTCGAACCTCCTCTTTTCACGCCCCACCCCTTGCTTCCAGAAGCCGCACGCCCCCTCCTTGAACCCCCTCCTGCCCCTCTCCAGGACGCCCGTTTCGGCAAGGGTTTTAGGGCCACCCCCACGGACATTCTCGTTCAGCCAGTGAGACCTAGCCACACCAGATGATCCGGTGTGCTCTCTGACACCCGTCTTCTGATGGAGGGGCGAAAAGAGGAGGGAGACGTGGAGTGTGAGCCAGACGGAGGGTTTGCACGCCAGAACACTGTTGCAAAGTACGCAGTCGCAACAATACGCTTGTGTCGTTGTATGCTTGGCCGTGAGGTATTGCCTGTTTTGCTCGGTTGACGGAGGTGCTCTGCACACCTCGATCAGGCAGGCAGCGAGAGGAGCATTCCCATCCCCCCCCAGGCGGGCAGGCTGCGGTGGAAGGAGAGGCCGGGGAGGTGGGTGGTTCCTGCTGCTGCCGCCGCCGCCTGTGCCCTATCCTGGGGCCATCGGTGCCAAGTCGTTGGGGCCTGATGTACCCCATGTACCCTGGCGCAAGAAGTACCCCAGGTGCCTGGACCCACGCCCAGCTGGCCACCTTCTTTCGCATGGGGGCAAGCATTTGTCCTCACCTCAATTCCACCCTACCTTTTTAAGGTACTGTAGTTAAGCGTGCGCGTGCTGCCAACGCTCGAGGACGTTGCCGGTTGGCGAAGTTGCAATGGCATACTGTATGAATGTAAGGGGTCAATGCGGCAAGCCATCACTCTGAAGCAGTTGGCAACGTTGGCAGAGTTGTCAGAAACACCCAATGGGTAAACAGGCATGTTGGCGCCCGAACGAACGAACGATATTGACCACCTTTCGCAAAGTGGTGAAGAAGTAGGCCGATGGAGGCGTGTCCCATCCGAGAGCGGGGGAGAGGGGGTGAGGATGTGCAATCAGGCGGAGGGGTGTCAACTCGCCACGGGCAAGTGACATGCTGTCTCTAAAGTTGGATGTTGCTGATGGCATGGTTAGCAAATGTCAGATGGGGGCTGATTCCACTTCGACTCTTGTCATGTTGCGTGTGCTGTCTGATGGGGGATTGGGACCACTTGGTGAGTCTGCACGTCTGCCCTTGACTGGTGCTTGTGAGAGGTTGTTTTGGGCATTCATACATTACCTGCGGTACTTTACCTGTCGTTCGTCTTGTCAAGCAGCCTCTTGCGTTGAAACGCAAAGGAACTCCTCGGAGCGCGCCTTTGGAAGTTGGGGTCCAAAATGACGCGAGTTGTGGAGAACGAGGCGGTCTGGCTAGATCGACATGTGTGAATGCTAGTCATCCATGGAGCTACTTTAAGGACGACGCGAGCGATTCTTGTGAGCACGGCATGCGCCTTCTGAAGAATACGGTATA